GTATAAATTACCCAATAAAGATATGAGCAAGGCCTCACCTTAATACCAAAAAAAAAAAAAAAAAAAAAAAAAAAAAAATTATTAAATGTATTTCCTTTAAAAAGCTTATGCAATATGTTGGATCTTGATTTTCTTCTTGAATATTAAATATGCTTGATATAGTTTGATCAGAAGTTTGAATCATCAATTCTTGAAAAATATTAGAGACTGAAAGACTTCGATTTTTATGTAAAGTGCTAGTTTTGTTATTTTTATTTGATTTTAAAAAATAATTAATTGTCAATAGCATAGCGGTTATGCTCCCAGGTTGCAAATCGAACGGTTGCCGGTTCAATTCCTCCCAACGGCGGATTAATGAAAATTCGAAAACGGAAGTGAATTACTGTGGGGTACAGGGAACCCAGGATATCTATGGATAGATGTATTTGGGGAATAGTTATTCCGAGAAGTTGTGGCTGTGAAACGAGGCGTGTTAGAACCCTGATTTGAAATAACCGAAGTCACAAGACGTAATATGAGGCTAAGTCTGATAAAGATACTACAAGAACTCGTGGCAACACCGGATTGGCTGGTGAAATTTCAGTACAATAGAAAGGTGATTCGACCTTTCTGGAATGTCGTGCAGGCGGTCAGATCTAGGCCCAATGAGGAAACGGAGAATGTCGGGCAACGGAATTCCAGGTGAATACATAGTACCCATATGGGATTATAGAGGTCCTGTAACCCTAAGTAGCGTGCGTACTAGAGTCATCTATATAATAGTTAGAACCAAAGTTACAGTGAGACTTGCCGAAGAATTAAAAAAAAATAAAAAATAAAAAATAATTGATTATAATATAAATAACTATACAATAAATTAACAAAACAAATAATAAAAAGTATACTTAATAATTCTTTCACTAAATGAAATGAATTTTCAAAGTCAATATTATTTGTGTCTTAAAACTCCAAAGAACTCTTATTAAATATGGTTTCTTGATTGTTTACATTTGGTATAAATCATTGTTTTCTATAGAATAAATACAAATAAGACAATAAAAAAACAAATCTTATAATATTTACCAATTAAATTATATGATTTTTCAATGATCTCTAATACATTAAGAAATTTATTTAAACCTTCATGTTGCAATATTGATTTAGATAGCTTATATGAGTAAAGCCCTTGTTGAGTTTTATATCTTGTAATAGATATAACAATAGAATCGCTATATTCTAATTCTTTAAAAATCTGAACAGCTGTTTTACGATCTAAATAGTTTGATATATTTCAATCACTTATTTCAATTTTCACATTTTTACATATTGATCTAAAAAGACTTTTAAGACTTCTTTCAGAATATGAATGAGCATAAAACTATTGACTATTAAAAGTAGCTAATAAAAAAAGATAAGTATTAATATAAGAAGTTTAATATGCTTCGCACACCTGCATTAAGGTTATATATCACACTTTAATATGATTGGCTAATTTTGCAAATCATTATTTATAAAAAAATAAACAAACTTTGATTAATTTTCTTTAGATTAAAACTAACTTATAAAAAATAAAGAAT